AAACACAATTCAAAACAATTATTGGTTTCGCAATGTTTTGGCCAAAAGTCACACATAAAGGACGTCCACCAAAATGACGGCACACTTACACCCCTTACGGCCCCCCAACTGGTCATAAGTTGCCTCACTTATGATGTGTGCATTCATTTAGTGGCAATTCTTTGAATGGATCAACTCATGTGATAGTTATGGTTAAGTAATCTAAAAGGATTTAAAGACTAGTCGTATATTTATATCCATACGAGACGTAACCCAACCCCTGATATCAGGTGTGATCTCATGCTGTGCTCTGGGATTACATCACGTTTTAATGATTGAAAATTTGCATTTGAAATGACGATCACTTGTGACAAGTTGTGAGCGAAAGTGTTTAAAGTGTTTAATTGCCACAAATGATAGCGTCTTCGCGTTTTGGATCAAATCTATTGTGTGTAACAATTGATTTGCATTTTGAGAAAACAATCACTCATTTGTTGTGTTGTTTTGTGGCAGAAATTTGTCTGAGAGCCAAATGCTGTGAGTCTTCGCCTGAAGCCCAAGAGTGAAGTGAAGTGTGTTTTTGTGGTTATTTTTATATCACATTTAATAAGCTTTTAATCCTGAATCTCGTGTCCTATAGGCCTATAGTGAGTGTGAGTTGTGTTTGAATGTGTTGTTAGTGTTTGTGTGAAGAAAGTTATATTTACGCAAACTTTTTGCGATAGTTTGCCAACAAATTTGTTGTGACTTTTGGGACAAAACTCGGAGTCGTTTTGTTATGCGAAGTGAATGTCAAACACAACACACGGACTCCTCTTCTTTATCACTACATTTGATCCGATCGTTAATTCCTCTCAATATTTATTACTTGTGTTAATGTTTTTTCTGATTCACTAAAAGACAATTGTATTGAATTTTGTCTCCACTTTTTGAAATGTTTTAGCATTTGTTTTGTTGTGTTTTTAATCCAAACAATTAATTGATTTAATCAATTGGTGTTCACTTGACGTCTATCTTAAAGTACAAGCAATAAGTGTATGAAAATTGCATTCAATTTATAATTAAGTTAAATATTTTAATAATTAGTGTATTTTAATCTTTACTTTCAGATGCAATGCCATTGAATATAGTGTTGTCTTCTCCTGAATGACATGTAAACCCAAAATAGACGCGATTTATATATAAATAACAGCAAAATATAAGTAAGTCTTTGCAGTAATCACTGCTTATTAAGAGGCGATGCATTCAATTAAGAAATGCCTTTTAACTACTCTTCGCTATACTCTTAACTAAATGTTTCAAAAGTATTTGTGTTTTTTGCAGACGTCAGAGAGAGAGAGAGAGAGAGAGAGAGAGAGAGAGAGACTTATTGCCTGAGAGCATCACATAATGCGAAAATAATATTGTATACTCTAAAGAGGGGGGGGAGAGGGAGAGAGAGAGAGGGAGAGAGAGAGAGAGAGAGCTTGTTTTGTTTTTATTGAGTATAAAATCTTAACCCAATTTAATTGCCAAAAATTTCAATATTACTGTATTGTATGCAAACATGAAAATGCATTCATTCATCAAATACTGTGACATTAATTGTCATTTTGTTTTGTTTAACACAAATATTTAAGTTTTCATACAATTTATTGTCACATCAAATAAAACATTAAAACTTTGAAAGCGTTCACAAAATTAATGTCTATTTAATGCAAATTATTTTATGAGATCAAACTTTCACTATACATTCTCTCTCTCTCTCTCTCTCTCTCCCCCTCTCTCTCTCCTTTTAATGTGTTTTTAAAATTAAACTTCAATTGATTAAAAAATATTTGAATGATAATGAATGGTATGCTTAAACTTATGAAGTTTTACATACATTTTAGCAAATTGTTAGACAGAGTGCTAGAGTGGGCTCTCCTTTGCATTCATACGGTATGTGTTAAGCTATGAGAGAGACTGCGAGTCAGAGCGCATGTGTTGTGAGTGTTGTGTGCAATAAAAATAAACACATGGACTGAATGTTTGGCGCATTTTATTACATGTTTTGCATTGCATTTGCCGTACATTTCGCTCATATTTCACATCATTTGCTCATTTCTTATTGCAATTGATTTGTTTTGCCTTTAATTACTGCAATTGATCCCACGTTTTGTATCTAAATATACCGCTTATACCACACGTGGTGTATGTCGTGAAGACATTTGTTATTTTAATGCATTTGTCGCTAATTTGTGTTTTGTTTTGCAGAGATCTGTGTTGTGGTCGCCGGCAGTGATCATTGATGGCCAACAATATGCACAACAATAACAACTATCCGGACATTAAGAAGTGCTGCGAAGGCGTGTTGAGGGGTTTGGAGGCCACGGCCGCCGACATGAGACACCTGATGACTGGTCTTATGGTACGGATCAATGAGTTGGAGGAGAGGGTGCGGACGCTATCCGACAATAATCAGACACTGATGGCCGACAACCAGGCGCTGACGGATGAGGTGCAGTCACTTCAGACGGAGAACCTATGTATGGCTGAAGACCGGGAAATGATGCGCAAAGAGTTGCGTGAAGTCCGTCACGAGAACGACCTCTTGAGCGATGAACGCCGTAATTGGGAACAAACGAGTTCGCCGTTCGCCCGACATGTGGCCTCTGCCGTGTGAGTTGTTGTCCACTTTTGGTCTATACTTACTGTTGACTTCTTTCCGATGTCTTTGTTATAAACTGTTTCTTTCTTTCTCTCCACTCGCTGTACATCTCTTCCCCTCTTTTTGTGCCAAATTATCAATAATTTAGTGTCAATTCATTGCCGGAATTTAGCGAACAATTTATGCTCAAAGAGAGACCCAATTCTATGCAAACGTTTGGCTCTTATAACCAAATGGATGGCCAAAGACTGCCCGCCGAAGAGTTGGAGACCTATCACAGCACCCGAGGTATCGTCACATCGAATCCGACCAGTAATGAGACCTTCTTTGACGCGCGCTCGTCATCGCAACGCTCGTCGGCCGTCGCGAACGCTATTTATAATTGTTTGCCAATGAATGCGATTCCTTCTGTTATGACAGCACAAGAACAGCACAAACTTAACCAAACGCTGGTATCGTTGGCCACGGCTTCCTCGCAATCGTTTGGCTTCGACGTCAACGACAACTTAAAGCTGAAGTTAGTTCGGGTGCCGCTTAACCGCGCGGTTCCCGTCTATGTTGCTTACGTGCGGTCGCCGTCTGACTTCTGGCTCCACATCGACTTAAGCGATGTGATTGCATATTCACATGTGATTCAAGTGAAACAGGGGGAGCTCGTGGAGAGGGGAACGGCTCGTCTGACTACTGCCGACGTGGAGATAGGCATGTATTGCGCGGCCGTGTATTCAGTGGACGGGGACTGGTATAGGGCTCAGGTCATTGACATCCACTACGAGAACGATATCGAGAAGGACTCGATTCGCACGATTCGCGTCCAGTTTATCGATTGGGGTAACTGTGAAGAGGTTCCGCTCGCGAAAGTGATGCGACTGTCGGTGGAGTTAACCAAACGAAAGCAAGCGGTTCAGTGCCATATTCAAGGCATTGGACTCGAGACACACCAATGGGATAAGGAATCCGTTACTAAATTCCGTGAAGCGATGGAAAAGGCGAAGAAATTGTCGGCCACTTTCTTAAAGGCTAGAAAATTAGACGAAAGACTCGACAGTTTGATATATCCCGTCGATGTGTTGATAATCAAAGACACCGGAGAGACCGAGAATGTCGTCGATTACGTGACACTTCCTCTATATGTTGAGCCCGAAGACACTGAACCCGGAATTGAAAACAATGTGTCAGAAGAGTGCGACCGGACTCTCGTTGCTTCCAATTCGGGTCCGGATGTGGTCTCTAATCGTTTTGAAGAAATTAATACTCAACCGAAGACATCAACAGTTAAGTCAGTGCAACAAATAAAGTCAAAGTCGAGCCAAAACTGTGTCACAAACGCGTCTAATAATAACAATAGTGAACGCAATCCAATGCCAACTCCTTCAGCACAAAGTCTGCCAAAATCGATGCCTCAGTTAAG